GATGGGAGAGTCTCCTGAGGTTGAGATTGTCCTACTTTAGCTGTAGTTATCGCTCCTGCTATCTTTCTTTGTTTCTCTCTGTTATTAGCCCCAGGTTTTAGCATTGCTCGAGGTCAGGGCAGAGTGTTGTATGTTGTCCTGTTCAGAGACAAAAACTGTATTGATGTGACATCATGATGATTGACAAATGACATTTCTCTAATGAAGAGGGGTGATTAATCATAGTAGATGGCTGCTGGCCTGGTAAATGTTGATATCAGCTTTTCATTTGTTTGTTTTGTCTGGTGTTAGCATGTGCTGAAAAATGTAATTGTAAATTGAAATGGAAATGTGAAATTGCTGAATTCAAATGGTGGGAAGTCCTTATAAAAACTGCTTTGTGTTTGAAAGATCTACTGTACAGAAAAAACATAAAAGCCTTAATTTTTATAAATATTTTTTTCATAGAGCATTTCTGTCCTGTGACAATCTATTTAATGTTTGAAGGAGAAAATATATAACTTCAAGTCCTCTTGTCTCACCCCAGATACTTCCACTTGATTCTTCTTTTGAAATTGTGATTTAAAAAGATTATTGTTTAAAGCCATTAAACGTTTTCAGGGCAAGATTAACCAATAATTTTTTGTTGTTGTTTTTTGCTTATGTCTCTAGTACTGTGACTAAAAAATGACTGTTGGCCCACAAACATCTTGCATATCCATAGTATTTATGGCAACCTTATAAACTCAGCGAGCCTGAATGAGTTATATAAAAACAAACCGATTCAGATGAAGAAAGAATAAACACTTTTTTGATGTAGACTGCTTTTAAACTAAATGTTTAAAAGCTAAATGTCAATGAAAGCATTTACCTTTTTTAAGATTTATGAAAATATTCAATTAGCAATGCTAACAAAAAGACTAAAACCATGTACAATAAAAAAGGCCAAAGAACATTGTTTTTCATTATTTATGTCATAACAAATGTAATGCTCAGCAAGGAGTGTCTGTGTTTGACCTGTTCTGAATGACACTGTTAACAGGGTTACTATGTTTATAGGGTGTGCCCCAGGGCTCAGTTCTCGGCCCCCTCCATTTTTAATTTAGAAGCTTCTATTTGGACAAATAATCCCATCATAGTTTCAGTTTCTATTGCTATACTCAACTCTTGACATGTAACTCTGTTACAAATTAAATGTAGGCATATTTTATTATTTAACAAATATCTATATTTTTTTTTTACAATAAATAATATTATAAATTCTAATTTAATATTTATTTGTTTGTTTGCTTATAGTTTTTTTTTATAAATGCAAACAAATGTACTGTTTTAATTATAGAAGAGGATATTGTTATTACTAATTTAACAGAAAATGTGCCTAGTTTGTGCAAAGCTGATTAAGGTTATGATTTATGTAGGTGTAGAAGAATGACTGGTCAAACTGATGTGGTTCAGCAGACCACAACATAGAGTTGACAGAGAGATGGATTTATCACACAAGCAGCTTCATGCCAGGTGCTTTCGTGGCATTCTGAATGGACAGAAAGAGAGATGACTTTGGGGTCAAGGGTGGGTGAAGCGAGCGTGGGACTATAGAGGAGGGGAGATTAAACATTTCCTTTATCTTTTCGTCGAGACGTAGCCCCCACTGTCACCTTCACCTCCCCCTCCTCTTTATCTCATCTTGTAAGACAGGGATATTCAACATCTGAATCCAAAACTCAAAGCCATATCTGCTATTTAGATGTTCAAAAGCAGGATTGCAATGTGAAGCTGGCTTCATTTCAGATCTTTCAAAGGTCTTTGGTGTCATGCAATAAAGTAAATATGTGTATGTTAGGTTAGTAACACGTGTAATTTGAAAATACAGCACATGTCCTTCATGCCTATCTGGATTGATAATGACTTCACACTTATAAAGCTCTTCAAACTAAGAAAAGGAAAAGCATCACATACAGCGACATGCTGCTGTTCACTACTGAAGCATTCAGCCCTCAGAAAAGACACTTTAACAATAATAAAATATTATTGTAAGAAAATAAGCTTCCCATTTCACTCTTCTCACTCTTTCTGTTCCTGCACTCTTCATATGTGTCATATTTCACTCTTCTCTTATTTAGTCTTTTTGACTGAGGGGCCTTTTTGTAGCTGTAAATCATACTGCAAATGACCCTCATTCGAATGAAAGGAAAGTGTGGATTGGGAATAATAACAGTTGAGTGTGTTTATGAAAGAGAGAAATAGTGTGTGTGTGTGTGTGTGTGTGTGTGTGTGTGTGTGTAATGCACTGCAATTCAAACAATCCAAAAAATATAGCACTTCCATTCACCTTTAGTTTAATTGCATGCACAAATTGTAGGGAGGTTATAGCTAATTCTGCATTTGCATTTTGCAGCTTTGTGTGTCTGTATTAGTATGGGAGTGACCATGACAAGGAATGTCTAATCCATGTGCAGCCTAGATCTTTAAATGCCTGCATTACTTGAATTATGTATTTATCGATAACATATTGTGTCAGCTCATGCTCATAGGAAGAGAGGAGTAGCATCTGAAAACACATTAGAAGACATTAAAACGCTGTCATTATTATCATCATGACCATCCCCTTTTGTGTCTCTCTATTGAGTTTCAGTCTAAATATGTCCACAGCAAACCTGTGATGAATTAATTATAAGGAACACCTGGCAGTTCTCTCTACAGACTGTAGAGAGTCAGAGGAACCCACCCTATCACGTATAGAAACTGCGGTATATATTTATACATGCATTACTGTTCAAAATTTATGGTCAGCAAGGGTTTTTTTTTTTTTTTACTGAGGTTGGAATGAGGATGTGTGTTCATAAAATGAGAGAGAGACATATAATCAATATATTTGTACAATGTCCAAACATCTTTTAATTTGGGCACAGCTCATCAAATGTTTAGCAGTGCTCTGTTTCACTATTATATAATGTCCTTTCACTGAGTGTATGGAACACAGGTGGTGTCAGCTAAATACAATATTCAATAAGATCTAATGTACAGTTCCACATGATCCATAATGAGTACCAGAAACAGGGATACTAACATAGCACACTAACATAGTATGCATACTATTTCTACAGTAGGCTATATAATAAAAAAATGATGCATTGAATATCCATTTACCATAATAGCAAAACTACATCATACAATGCAATGCACTTGACCTTTCATTCCAGTGTGATAGCTAATATACGTCCTGATATATTTCTGAACTTGACTCATTATAGCTAAATGTTAAGAATAGTTGACCCAAAAATTAAAATTTGCAGACAATTTACTCACCCTCAAGTCATCCTGCTATTTAGGTAATTTTGTTTCTTCATCATAGATGCGAAGCAGACTGCAGAAGAAACGTTCAGGACTCAGGCCTATACATGCTTCTGCTGGCTCTTTTCAGTAAGTTTGCTGCAGTCAACAGGGACCCTCTCGTTTCTCCAGAATGACCTCTGCATTAGTGCGGCGTATGATTGATTTAGGTGGGGGTTTCAGTCTTGTGGGATCTCTGCCTAGCGGGTCAAAGCACTGACAGCTCTATAGGGTTTGGTCTTATGGGGGATGTTACAGGCACGGCACTCTGGGATTTCAAGTACTGCTGCCTTAAATCTAAGATCATTAAGTGGAATCGACAGATATTTTGCACATATTTGTTCACTTCTCTAAGAGTGACTCATTCTGTAGGTCTCTTTTCATCATCCCAGTTGTTTCTGATTCACCCTTCATTTTCCTTATGTTTAAGGGCACATAAATAGCTTATTTATTTGCAAAGAGAGAAACAATTAACAAGTCCCAGTCTGACAAAATCAGACTTGACTGCTTGAACAATGGTAGAAAGTACTGAGGATGCTCCAGCCACTTTTCCAACCATTTGAGGGTTAGGGAAGGAAATAAAGGATGAATTTAGTGTTTACTGAATGTTATACATTTTAAAGATAAATGCATCGATCTGGGCACTTTGCGAGCACAATTAAGAGCTCCAACCCCTTTTCAGTGACCAGATTGAAAACAGTAAAAGGTCTTTGACTTGTATATAATGGACTCAATCATCTTTTTAGTTACGATAGTGTCTCAGTCCATATCACATTAACACTGTTTTTTTTTTAGAAGGGTTCATGTCAGTCTTATGCACACCCCTTCAAGTAAAGTGTAACCATAGCTTATTTATTTGCAAAGAGAGAAACAATTAACAAGTCCCAGTCTGACAAAATCTGACTTGACAGCTTGAACAATGGTAGAAAGTACTGAGGATGCTCCAGCCACTTTTCCAACCATTTGAGGGTTAGGGAAGGAAATAAAGGATGAATTTAGTGTTTACTGAATGTTATACATTTTAAAGATAAATGCATCGATCTGGGCACGTTGCGAGCACAATTAAGAGCTCCAACCCCTTTTCAGTGACCAGATTGAAAACAGTAAAAGGTCTTTGACTTGTATATAATGGACTCAAGCATCTTTTTAGTTACGATAGTGTCTCAGTCCATATCACATTAACACTGGTATTTTTTTAGAAGGGTTTTTTTTTTAAATAAGAATTAATAATAATAATATTTATAGTAATTGTTATTAGTAATATCCCTATAATGATATATTACTATTGCAGCAGCACTGTAAATGTAAATGCAGGTTAATATTTTTTTTACTTTTCAGCAGTAAAATTAAATACTGTATTCCAAGAGCTTTTATTTTTGCAGGGAGATCTTTACATTTCTGTGGCAACAGGTTTACAAACGCTTCTCATTACAAATCTAGTTAAATGCTGTAATGAAATGTTGGAAATTATGTAAATGGAAAAATAAAGTGCAACTGCCGGATGTTGCATTCCCAAATGCATGTTAAACTTGCCACTCTGAGACTCAGGAAACACGGGTTCAGCACAGCTCTACAGGCTATATATTTAATTTGATCCCAGTTACAATTTTATAAGTGCACAAAGCCATTTCACAATTTCAGTCTCAATTTTAGTTCAAATGGTGCTTTACCAAAGAAATCGTTCATTTTTTTTTGTTTGTTTTTTGTTTTTGCCAGACGTTGAGAAATGTGATATTCTGAAACTTTACTAATGCCCGATTTATAAAAGAGCTGAATCGACAAATCCTTATGGCTCGTGAAATGCATACAAAAATGTTTCCTCTAATGTACTGTCATCAAATCTAAGAAAAGCACCAGTGAAAAGGACTAAACTTCAGTTTTTGCAGCACCACTCCAACTGGAGATTGGAGAAAACACATTACAATCACACTTGACTGATGCAGGGGCCGATACAGGGAGGCACACACTCGTATTACGGTAACTGCATAGCTACATGAATGGTCAGATTATGGATTATATTTTGGGATTATCTGATAAAATCTCACTAATCTCAAAATCTCACTATGGCCAATTAATTAGCATTCAGTGTTTCAGTTTAAACATATCTCTGTTTATATATGTAATATCTGCATAATTGGTATTTTGTGAGGCTTTCAAATGTGTTCTGGAAAATAGGATTATGGGGTTTAGTCAGGGTAGACGACATTCAATTTGGCATGAATGAGGCTGTAAGAGATTGACACTGCCGCAAGTGCCGCAATAGGGCATATAGGGTGTCCCATTTACCATTTTAGGTTTCAAAAGGGTGCTTACGAGCTCACTTTTAGGCCAATAAGCACCTTTTATGTCCACTTTTGCTGAGTTTGCACTGATATAGACTATACAGTTACTACCCGACAGTCTTTGCAGCATTATTTGACCAATGTTATATCTTAAAGGTTGACCACAAGCATGATATTTAGAACAAGGTCTCAGTTCAATAGGTTTTCTACAGTCACAGCTAATTTTCCCAACTCAAATTGTGCAGAGTTGTTCCCAACACACAATAGTACCACCTATTAAACTGAATGTACTTCTATCTCATGTTTTTCATTCCCATCAAATGAAAATTGGCGCCTACCCTGACTGAAGGTCCATTAGGTTTATTTCAGCATAATGATGGAGGATGAAGAGGTAGACAGAGAATATAAAGAGGAGGAATGCAGAAGATGCACCCAGCAACATGTCTTCTGTAAAACTACAGGGTAAGAATAAAAATGACAATTACACTTTAAAATTCATGAGGACATCCTAGCCAGGGAATGGAGATTTACGTGTTAATGTTAATGTTCAAACACCAAAGCAAACAATACAACTGCTATCCTTCTACACTACAGCTACCAACGTGCTCTTCGTAGACATCTTCAGACAGCATAATAAGTATATTAAGTTTTAAAAAGGACAGATCCATAATGCAATATGATCAATCATATCATCCAGTCCTTTTTTTAGAGAACTCCAGGGGTATTTCATATTTTGGCTGGTTTGAAAATGGAAGATGGTCCCAAGTAGTTGCAGAGTCTATATAGTGGTTGAAACAAGCTATTTAGATGATTGTCTATAGATAACATAAACTTAATACCACATTGAGACCACGTTGAATTTGGGTGATAACACCTTTCTTAACCATTAAAAGGAAAAGTTGTGAATTTGAAGAATCCATCAAGGGCTGTTTACAGGACAATTTTACAGCTACTCCAAGCAAAGCTGTTTGTGGTCAAAAGTAAGGGCCACTGATCTTACTGAAGGCCATGTTGAGGTTCTTGGTTTGTGTAGTTCAGTTGCATGCTGTATGTTCCCTTTATATCTAAATGACTTCATTAAGACCTGGTGTCAACTTGGTTTGGATTACTCAAGTTCTCCCATGGGGATTGAAATGGCTGGCTAAGCTGTCCTGGTAGCTGGACGAAGAACAAAGGAATGGCAGAGTTTAAGGAGAGGTCTGGCTGGTTTACGCTGGAATGATGGACTTACAATGTGAAATCTGGCTGGTTGACAGTGGAATGGTGGACCTAAAGGGGAGGTCAACTCTTTCACCTTCCTTGGCATTAAAGTGTGCTGGTTAAACTGAGGTCTGGTTTGGAAAGTCCAGATGCAGGAATTCTTCAAGGTCCCATTGTTGCAACCCTGAAGACTTTTATTGAAGGTATGAAGTATGTATTTGTTTGTTTAAAGGTGTGTCTGTGTGTATTGGCGTATGTGGCAGTGGATTTGTGTGGCAGTGTGTGTGGGGTGGGTGTTGACAGTTGTCTTCTTTGTGTACTTTTTGGGTGTCTCAAGAGGCCACCCTCATTCTCATTCATTACTGGTATCGAATCGTTCTTCGGTTCCCATGGGTGACTCTTGCACTCGATGTTTGCACTGGCCATGGGTATGTCGTGTGGTGGAGCGGGAGTGGCGGGCAAAACAGGAAGTGGCAGTTTGTGAGCTGCAGTCACAAACTGAATCCTGCAAAGAAAAAAGATTTAAAAGATTTTAAGATATTTGCTTGATTCAGGGTTTATGCTTTGGAGGAAGAGGGGAGTTTGTATAAAACAGGGCTGGGCAATTTCAGTCCTGGAGGGCCACTGTCCTGCAGAGTTTAGCTCCAACCCTAATCAAACACACCTGAAGTTGCCCAGCCCTGGTATAACACAATCAGAGGTTCATGGTTAAATGCAATCAACCAGATCAACAGTGGTGACACTAGAACTTGTATTAGACTGTCTCACCTCCAGGGTACTAGAGCTTGAGCTCATTGCATCCTTTCCGGTGGCTACAAACTCATCTCTTTGTGTTTTCATAAACCTCTTATTGACGATCTTTGTGATGTTGTCTGTGCCAATCAAGGCTCCAGGTAGGCATTCAGGCTTTGGTTCATCCATGGTGCCTGCTGGCACAGTCCTGCCGCAAACGTTGCGGAGAAACTCCTGGACCATGCCGTACTTCTGAGCTCCCGCTTCTCCCAGACCGATACCTAGGCTAGGACAGGAGGGTTTCCCAGCAGCTTGTCTTCCCGAGCATGGATCTGCTTTCCATAATGATTCAACACTTCCAGAGTGTTCCACCACACTGAAGAGACTGGTCAAGCCATCATTGAGGCCACTAAGCACTGGGCTGTCTCGGGTGGTGGTGGAACGTGCCCAGGCCGAACCGTTCTGAGATCCACTACGGTTATGAAGATTCCATACACTGCGATCCCTTGAAGATGTTGAGGAGGTCTCCAGTTTGGAGGAGGAGGTGGAGATTCTGCGGGTAAGCTTAGGTGAGCCATATTTCGGTGAGCAACATGGTCTATCTATGCGACTGTGGACTTTCTCTAGAGATGAAGAGATCTGTCGGGAGCGTGCAGATGAAAGTGAGGTGGATGGACGAGGAGACCATGCTTTCCCTTGAAGGCCTCTAGTTGTTGGAATGGGTCCATCAGTTTGTAGGCCAATGCTGACAAACTGTGATGTTTGCGTTCCTGTATTTGAAACACCAACTGTCTGGCTCCCTGTATCTTTGCTGCACTTCCTCTCCAGGGAACTGGAACGAATGGCCTGTCGCACACAGTTGGTCATCTCCTTCATGTCATCACTAAGGTTGCCTAAAATTTCCAGTCCGTGGAATGGTGCAGAACCTCCCGTCCGTCCTTCAAGCAGCTCTCTATGCTGCTGTGAAAGTGAGCTCAACCATTGCTCATAAGTGGATGAGGAAGTTGTCGACAAAGGTGCAAATGCAGCAGTCTGGCCTGATGGATCTATCATGGCTGCGTCTCTAGATGATGGTCCTTGCTGAGGATCCTGCTGGGCCTTTTCATTGACTGGCCTCCTCTCCATTCTCCTCACAGTTGGAGGGCTGTAATAAATGCGAATACCCGTCTTATCTGGAGCGGTGTAACTTCTCTGGATGTACTCCTTGCTCAACTCCAGTCCAGGGAAGCTGCTGTTAGAGTTGGTGCTTGGGCAGTCCCATGTCTTAAACTGGTCACCCTTCTCCAGCATTGCAGAATCATTGGTCAGGTACTTCCAATTCTTCTTATTGAGATCACTTAAGTCGGTATGAGCCAGAATGGAGGCAGGAGCAGTAGTTTGATGCTGTGGAACATTGCACTCTGGTACTCCGCTGACCTTGTGACCAGGAAGGAACAGACTAGTGTCCAGCAGACTCTTAAATTCAGAGAGGGCAGAAATTGATTTGGTCCTGTAACGAGAATGGGGATTATCATAAAACAGTCACATCTGATAAAACAAGGCACAGTTAAGACCTTAATCAAGTCAGTTTACCTTTGCAGTCCTGAACCACTGGTGGCTGCATCTGCTGAGATTTCCTTTTCAGATATTTTATCATGCAGAGCCTGAAAAGGAAATGATCTATTTTAGTGAAGTTTTACAGAGCAGCATGTCATGATCTCCCCCCGCACAGTACTCCCATTCATTCATGTGGTATTACTGAGTCAGACAATATTCTCTTTAGGAAATGAGATCATTCAAAACAGATAGTTTCCTCTGCGGGGGTAATGATAAATGGTATGGTTCACCACGTCTATGTAAATGACCCAAATTCTCTCAATGAGGCATGGTACTAGACCTTTCTCATTCAGGATGTCATATGAAACAGATAAATTAGAGCACTGAGCTGGACTGTCACAAAAAGAAAGACAAAAGAGAAAGAAGGGAAAAAATCTATATAGTCTCATCTCTTTTTCCAGCCTCATTACTTACAGTGTGGTTAGAACAGACACACTGACCACTATGTCTCAGGCAACGTTCCAATTGGACTATGCACACTGTGCACAGCCACATGGATATGCAAAACCATCAGTTTCTAGATAAGTGATGCAACATGCAGAGAGCCTGTCGGCAGGCGCTCTGCGGAAATGTTTAGAGATACTGTCATATCCGTCCATTATGTGAGGGGAGCCCTAAGTCAGTGAAGGAAGTGTGGGGATAAACTATGTGGAAAATATGTCATGACGACACCCTCACAGGCCAAAATAAAACAACAGATTAAAAGGGGAACAAGATTTGGTAATGCACAACAAAGCTTCCAAGTCTTTTAATGCACTTGAAACTTGACCATAAAAGATTCTGTTTGCCCAAAAATAAAAACTCTGTCATTTCCTCATGTTGTTCCAAACCCATATGACTTTATTATGTGGTGAACAAAAAGAGAAATTCTGAAAAAATCGGCTGCTTTCAAAAATATATGTTTCATGTCTTTTCAAAAATGTACAGAAGACTTAGTTTATGAGACCACTTTTTGGTGTTTTTGTGTCCCTTGAAACTTGAATGTGTTCCACAAAAACAAATAAACAATAACAGATAAACAATAAAAGAATAAAATTTTTTGAGTGAGCAAATCCTTTAACCCCCATATGACATCTGACCTGTGTGCCTTTGCTCTGGGCTCCTCGTAAATGCTGTTCCCATTGACTTCTCTCCAAGTTGAATTGCTCCAGAAGCTCTAGCCTCTCTCGGCTCCAGTTCTTCTCACTGATCTGCAGTTGTTTGGTGAGGTCCATCACAGCAGCGTAAGAGTCCGCCAACAGGTGTTGATGCTCCTCCCGCTCCTTTTTTAGCGCCCCCTTGAGGTCTGGAGAATCCTTTTCACCCCCAGCCACAGATGCCTTCCCCATCTTACCCTCCAGCTGATGACAAATATAAAGTACAAAATGAGGGGGTGAGATAAAAAGAGAACACTTGATGTCTTCAAAAGTGGAAGAGTAACCACAGAAACAGCCTCATAATACACAGTAAGCATTTACAGTCATATACTGACAGCTGCAGCAACCTGACATGACATTTTTGTTTATTTGCCCTACACCATTGAATAGGTGTATATATTCAATAAAAAAATTAAAAAATTATATATATATATATATATATATATATATATATATATATATATCCACCATAAAGTGGGTAGATATATAAATTAAAAAAAAAAAAAAAATATATATATATATATATATATATATATATATATATATATATAAAAGTGCAATTAAAGAAATAGTTCAAAATGGAAATGTATGCATTCTCAGGCCATCCAACATGTAGATGAATTAGTTTCTACATTGTAATGGATTATAAGAAATTTAGCATTACATCACTTGCTCACCAATGGATCTTCTGCAGTGATTGGGTGCCATCAGAATAAGAGTCTAAACAGCTGATAAAAACATCACAATAGTCCACAAGTAATCCACATGACTATAGTCCATCAATTATGGTTTTGTAAAGTGAAAAGCTGCATGTTTGTAAGAAACAAATCCATCATTAAGGCATTTTAATGTACGCTCCTGGCCAAAATATGAGTCCATAATCCATGTCCATCCCCTGCTGGCCTCGCACATCAAATCCACCAACATATTTGTTTAGAACGGTTTTTGCTTATAACCTGTTTTCACCGGAGAAAGCAATATTATGGATGCAGAACTCAACATGCTTTTATCAGCTGTTTAAACTCTCATTCTGACAGCACCCATTCACTGCAGAGGATTTATTGGTGAGCAAGTGATGTAATGCTAAATTTCTCCAAATCTGTTCTGATGAACAAACAAACTCATCTACAACTTCCTCATGACCTGAGGGATTTTTGGTTGAACTATACCTTTGAATATGCTTAAATTAATAAAAGCAATAATTATGTTTATTATTAAGAATAAAATAAAATAGAAAATGATTCTGCTAAGTACTATATTTAATAAACTGCATGTTGTTTGCCATTAACAACTTGAATTGTACAGGCTCTATACATCATATTGGCTGTTTTACTGCTGCTTCAAACATGGCTCATCCAATTAGATTGTTATGATACTTGGTATATATAGTAATTATGAAGCCAGCCTATTCTTTATCCCCCATCCTCATTTAAATTCCTTCTGCTCTCTCAGTTGGAGCCGCAAATCTACAGAACTCATAAATTTTGTGAGTGTACGGGAGTCAGGTTATTAAAACACACAGCCTGCTGGGAACTCATCAGACAATCAGTGACTAGCTTCTCACGGTGATAATGCCCAATGAGTTTTGCTTTGGATGGCAATGAGAGGTTAATGGGTTGATGTGGTTTATTAAAGAGGGTGAAAGTTTTTTGTTCCAGATACCTCCTCATAAACCGTAATGATTATAGGAAAGAAGGAGGATCCAGAAAGGCTTTTATTTCCATCAGACTGTTGACGTGGCTTTGTGGATTGTGATTTATTTTAATAACTTTTGACTCACATCATAAATTAATAATAGGTGACAATGTGCAGCATCAAGAGAGGACTTTATAGCATTATCCTAACAACATTACTGATATCAATAACCTGTCTTGTTAATGCAGTGATAAATCATTTTCTGTGACAGGTTGTTATTAGTGACACAGAGGTTGCAGCTAATACTAGAGCGTCAAATCCCACCTCTCCCATTCCTTGTATTATCACATGGCTTATTCTCTGAATCACATTCTTAGAAAAACAAAGGAAGTGCAGATAAAAACGAGGAGTGGCATGGAGAAAGGGAGTCCTGTAATATCGACCTATCAGAGCAGTAATGGTGAAAGAGGCAATCTAGTGACATTAGGATCTCTGGAGAGCATAGGGCAAATGCTTTTGGTGCAATCTATGGTATGTGTGCTTATTTTTTCTGCTGTAACTTTTAAAACAATAAAGGGAGGAGAGTGAGTATTTTAGCTAATCTAAACACAACTGATTGCATGGCCTGGCTCTTTACACACTGATTAAGGCATCTGCAAAGTAAACACACTTGACTTAAAGCTGCAGTGCAGGTTCTGCTCCATTAGCAGCATTTTCAGTTTACTATTTATTAACAAATGTAGTCAAATGTAGTGCACCGCTGTATAATGAGTACAATGGCATACTTGTCTTATAATCTTGCTTGTCTTATATTGCCATATTACCTGCTCTTTAGATACTTTCATTGCTATCAGCCACTGAAACCCATATTGGACGAGCACTATTTGAAAGTGCCAAGTGCCCCAGTGCTTACACTCTAGTGGGAAATCATACTGCGACTGGCTTACTTAGTTGTTTCTGTACATTAAACTGGTATTTCAACAGTAAAGATGGTACACCAACTAAAGTTTATTTAATACTCAATTGAAATAATCTGATTTATGTAATAACCTGACAAATTGATTCAAACACATATTAAATTAAAGCTGCAAGCAGCTATGAAAGGGCCCTCACACCCAGTGGCTTTAGGAAAACAGCTAACGGTGGGCAATATGCATTTAAAGTGATAAATATAGGAGGAAGACATTTATATGTGCCAAACTTTCTACTGCCAGCTGGTGGCGCTATGACTGTAACTGAATGTTGGCATGTAGATGTCTTCAGACCAGAACTTTTATCAAATCTGTGAAATTTGGTGCAGATTGAACATGGTATGTTTGAGTTAGTGTAAAACATGAAATGTGCTGTTGTCAACAGGTGGCGCTATAAATTATAACTGAATATTGGGATTTAAATGTTTTCAGGCCAGGACTCTTACCAAACATGTGAAGTTATGGGTAGATCGGACATTGCATGTTTAAGTTAGTGTAAAACAAGTAATTTCCTGTTGCCAGCAGGTGGCGCTGAAATTATAACTGAATATTGGCCTTTAGATGTGTTCAGGCCAGGACTCTTATAAAACGTGTGCAGTTTGGGGCACATTGGGCATTGTATGCATGAGTTCCTGTTTCACAACTTCCTTTTTCATGGCATTAATAGCATGCTTTAGGACTTAGTAAGTGTTGATATCATGTTTGAGCATATTTCTAGCATGTTTAGTACACAACGGCATATTTTACTGTATTGCTAATAGTGCATCACAGTGTTAAACATGTCACTTCCTGTTGCCAGTAGGTGGCGCTATAACTATAACCGAATATGAGCATGTAGATATCTTCAGGCAAGGACTCTTATCAAACATGTGAAGTTTTTTGGCAGATTGGACGTTGTATGCACGAGTTACAACAACTTCCTGTTTGATGGTGTTAATAGCATGCTTTAGCACTAAGCAAGTGTTGCTAGCATGTTTGAGCATGTTTCTAGCATGTTTAGTACACAATGGCATATTTTACTGTATTGCTAATAGTGCATCACAGTGTTAAACATGTCACTTCCTATTAACAGTAGGTGGCACTATGACTATAACTAGGGTTGGGAATCGAAAATCGATTCCGATTCCAGAATCGGATACTTAAGGTCAGGAATCAGACACTGGTTGTCAAATTAAAATTTCGATTCCGCCTATCGATTCATATGTGCTTTTTCTTCATCTGTGAGGACCAGACCTAGCGATCTGCCAGGACCTTGCTCGCTAATCTAAGCGCTCCAAAGTTTGGCTACATTTGCGATCAGAAGCCAAAAATGCTAAGTATAATATATGTGATAGCTAAACATGTTGCAAAAGAGGTGTCACCACCAACATGACAAAGCACTTTAATTTAATAGATCGTTAAAGATCGCGAACACGATTCAAACACCAACGTGATTCTATTCCTAAATTACAATGATTCGTCTGTTTCATTCCTCAACCTTTGACGTGTGCGATCAATGTTGTGATCACGTGGTTCGTCCGTGCAGAGTACGATCACACCAGTGCGATTTGAACATTTAAATTTGTGTTCGCGCTGCCGTTGACCTAAAGAGAGTCGATTACATTGTTACGCCAGTAGGTGGCGAAAAGGGGCTGTTAAAATGTATTTGTCTTTGAATCGTTCAAGAACGCTTATTCATCCAGTAATGAAACAAGTACATCTTGAGTGAGTCATTTAATCATTAATTCATAAATTAGATGTGATTTTGTTAAGTTGTCTAATGTTTTTTCTTCAGAATCACGAGAGAACCACAACGTCCATTGGGGGAAAAAAACAACAAAAAACTCAATTTATCCAGAATCATGCAGAATCTATTTTGCACACAAACGGCTCTTAAAGAGTCCAGTTTTTATGTAGCCTGTTGATTTTTGTTCATGGTATTCAGCTCCAATAAATGGTTTGCAAAAAAGAAACAAAAGAGTTATAATCTCAGGTACAGATTATGTGCTTTATTCAATGTTAAAAGTTTGACTATCATATTGCGTGGCATTTATAGCCATACTTAAAGCAAAAACAGACAGTTTACCTCAGATCTTGAAAATAAATTAAAGCAAAGATGTACGATAAAACTGAACTCACTGAGTGTATTCCATAACAAAGATGGTATCAGTCACTCAGTATGTACTTTTAATAATGTTAAAAAAAATTGCCACAACGTCCATTGGGGGAAAAAAACAACAAAAAACTCAATTTATCCAGAATCATGCAGAATCTATTTTGCACACAAACGGCTCTTAAAGAGTCCAGTTTTTATGTAGCCTGTTGATTTTTGTTCATGGTATTCAGCTCCAATAAATGGTTTGCAAAAAAGAAACAAAAGAGTTATAATCTCAGGTACAGATTATGTGCTTTATTCAATGTTAAAAGTTTGACTATCATATTGCGTGGCATTTATAGCCATACTTAAAGCAAAAACAGACAGTTTACCTCAGATCTTGAAAATAAATTAAAGCAAAGATGTACGATAAAACTGAACTCACTGAGTGTATTCCATAACAAAGATGGTATCAGTCACTCAGTATGTACTTTTAATAATGTTAAATTTTTTTTTTAATATTTATGAATTAGATTATAAACTTATCCATTTCGTTGTGAGTGCAGAGCACTTCCAGAGAGAGCCCACCTACACACGCTTCTGATTGGCTGTGATATTTGATTTATTCTGTCGCATCGCGTCTAGTGTGGACACCCAAATTGCTTGTCGCTGGAATCTCGTCGCATCGCGTGAAGTTAGGACACGGTGTAAGTCAAAACGTCCCATTTTCCATCATTGTCAAAATTCACTGCATCACTACTTTATTCCATATTTGTTTCTCAACTGTAGCCCTCTGTTTTTATCAGACTGATCCACAAACTGTCTAAATCCTCTTCCTCCCCCAGCTCATTAATTACGCCATTTAAGTAGACTGTAGTCATGAATGCATCTCAGAGCAAAGATATTAAACTCATCTTTCACTATCATGCCCAGAAACAAACTGTAAGCACACACACTCCCTCTCGCCCCCCAGTGAAATGCCACATTGCTGCTGACACACTGCAGATGGCTCACACAGCTCTCACCCCAGAATACTGGTGCATGTCCTAACCAACACCAGATCAAATAACAAAATTTCAGGCCACATCCAGCATCTTTTCAGCCTGTGTGACAGCAAACTGATCACAATAAATGTATCTGGCTTCAAAAGCTCTTCTACAGAGGCTTCCAGAATGAATCTCCCAAGACGCATTACTGTAATCTGTGTATGTTAAATCAATGACTATGGCCCTGAATGCAGGAGTTAAATTACACAGTGAGATCAATGTTAAAGTAATTACTTTACACCTACAATGCGAAGTACCAATAAAATGATTCACCTCTATGGACTCTTTCAGATTTTATTGTGTTACAAGCCACAATGTATTTAACAGAGAATTTTCCCACTTGACAAAGTACTCTGTAATGTATCTACAAAGTACTCTATAAATATATATTTTTTTAATTATAAAAAAAAAAAGTAACAGAAAACGACTGCATGCATAATTATTCCTTCCACTGCTGTAAATCTTTGATAGGAGCATCTTTGTAATTACAAATTACAGATACTTACAGATATCTTTTTTTGGCTATGTATTAGTTCAGTTTTGGTCTCTCCATAACAACATTTTCATTTAAACTGCTTTCAAATCTTAAAGGGATAATTCCAGCTAAGATAAGTCTTCAACAACTGTCCACAGTCCTGCTGATGACATGGATTGATCTACACAAATTTACTGTTGGCTACAGGAATATTTTGATTTAAAAGTCACTTGACGCTTTTATTATAAAGTTTCAAAATGCAAAGCAGGAAACACACTGCATTTTCAGGCATTTACTATGTAAAATGTAGACGTCGAGTTCTTTAGAAACAAATTTTGGCACTTGAATTATGGAAAAGACCAGTTATAAATTCAGCCATTATCACTCACCTGAGTGATAATGCTCTTGAGTTCCATCCGTTCAACTTCCCATGATGCTTTAGCACGGGCAAACTGCTGCGTTAACTCCTGTGAACTCTGACGCTCCTCGCGCAGCTCAGCGCTCAGGTCTTGTAGCGCCACCTTCAGGTCCGACAGAGTACTGCCGAATCCACCAGGCTGCTGAGGACAACAGGAGACGGAAGCTGTTTACATGAACATCCCCATGAAGCCTTGACCATAATAAGATTCAAATGTAAAGCATGTTAGTATTGTGCAGAAGTAAGGAGTTGTGCCAATCTCTGTTTTAACCCACCTGTGGGCAGCTTTTCTCTGCCAGGCTGTGCTCTTTGGGTGTAGGGTTGAGTGGCTGCTCCTCAGCAGCTGACATCTTGTTGTCTCCATAGTGGGAAGACAGGCCATCTTCCTCAAGCAAGATACGAAGATCTTTTACGCTGTTAACCTGGAAAAACATACCGGACTTAAATAATATTTATAAAGTACGCGGTTCAAAAATGTTGCTGTCGGTAAAATTTTTGTGAAAGAACTCTCTTATGCTAACCAAGGCTGCATTTATTTGATTATAATACATTAAAAGCATGAAGTAATATTGTGAAATATTATTAAAATTTAAAATAGCTGTTTCCCGTTTTAATTTATTTTAAAGGGGTAATGAACTGAGAAACCAAAATTCCTTTGATCTTTTGACATATAAGAGGTCTTTGTACTATAAAAACGTCCTGTAAGTTTCAGAACTCAAAACTTTGTCATTAGCCTAAAAACGGCTTATACTGAAGCCAATCTGCAAAAACGACAGCTTTTGGAATGTTCTACTGTATGATGTAATAGTGTGGATAAGCACCGCCTCCACAGAAGAAGATAAACGCCTCGACATCTCTGCCTGTTTAGCCCCACCCACCGATTCGCACATGTAGTGTTTACGAAAGAGGCAAACACACAGGACTAAGCAGAAACCAAACGATAAAGATGGCTCTGAAGACAACAAGATGCTGGGCAGTGCCAAGCTGTGGAAAAAACAGTCTTTGCATTGTCTTCCTTCCTTCGTTTACAAACAAGGCACAATTTGCACAATTCATTCCTAGTGAATTCACCAAATAAAAAAGGCTCCATACCTCTAGGATATCCTTGCTCTCGGTGTCTAGTTTCTTGCCGAGTCTCCACTGTTTGAGGAGCCAGCGCAGCTTGAGGCTGATGAGGAGCAGGCTCTCTTTGAGCTGCTGTGACTCCTGCACCAGCAGGTTTCTCTCCTGACTCCACAGCTTCTGCTGCAGACGCGTCTGCAGGCTCAGACTCTGCAGCTGGAAATCACAGCGGAGGAGAGCCTTCTGATGCTCTTCCTGAATCTAGAGATAAAGAACAAGAGAGACATTAAAACTGTCTGGATGCAGGTCTGGAACAATCAGATTTTAAGGTTAGGGTTTCACTTTATCAAGTGTTCAGTGTTTCAGAAAGATCTAAATTAGCACAGCATGTATTAACGTGTTTGCACCTGAGAGAGTTTATGCGTGTCGTTGTGGCGCGCCTGTCTCTCCTGTGACAGTGCTTCATGTGCTCCCTGAGCCTTCTCTCTCGCCTCAGACAACAGAGTGAGCAGCTCACCAACCTGCTCTGTCAGCTAGAGAACAACATGAAAACAGAGAGAAGGAGAGAGAATGCACGTAATTGGTAAATGCTGTAGCTGCACAGTATCTGTAATACAAATAAACTGGAACAAATGGCAAAACTTGCTGCTTTGTAAATGTTGAATGTTTCTGTGCTACAGTGGCAAAATAATAACCCCATCAAATTAGATTAGAAACCGTCTGAACATGACATCAAGTTTGCAGAGAGCACAGTCTGTATTATTTGTCTTTCTGTAAGACACAACCTAGTTCTAGAATAGTCGATTGTTTGGTCAACCAGATATTTTCTTAGATTTTGTTTGGATTAGTAGTTGATAGTAGGTGGTTTAAATGGGATCAAGTTAAAGCACCACTGCTAAAAATAAGTCTGCAACAAGCATACACTTGCAGATGGGCATCTTTGGCAGTTTTTAACAAAAACAAACTTGTTTCTTGAGACCCCTGCGTTCAACTTAAAAATATAATGATATAAATGATATTAAGCCCTCTAAGAAACAATTCATATCAGGCTGAGGTAAAAAAATGAAATAAAAAAAACGCCTAAATATACATGACTTCTATATATGAAATATAATATTTTGATTTTTTTTTTTACATTGAACCCACCCTAAATTTCAAAACATGAGATCAGAGCTTGATCACAAGATCACAGTTGTCTCTTTTTCTTCGTGAAAATCACATTTGCTAGTTAGTGGAAATGGTGGATGATAAATTGTTTGGGTGGAAACTGTTGATGACTGGAGGTTTCACTGGAATGCTGCAAGGGCGTTTGGCACAGTGTTTGGGACACCAAATCACATAATGCATTCTTTCATGATTTAAAGCTTGGCATAATGGACTATTTTTAATCATGATGTCAAAACTTGAAACTGCCTTCAATTTAAATACTGCATATTTCTCAGGAGTTTTTTATGACATCTTGTGCAAACCTAACAGATCACTGGCCTTCCAAATTGCACCAAATTTACTAGAGAAAATAAAGAAGTAGGGCTCAGTCTGTACAGACCCATCAGTTTCTGTACTGAGGTAAATATAGTGTAATGTAAGTGCGTAGTGGGGCTAGGGCAAAACTAAACCAGGTTGGCAGTGAGAACTATATTTGCTCATATCTCTGCATGGGTGAACAGGCTTTGTTTTGTTTATGAACTCATGGGTATTTTTATATTTTAACCACATAAATATTCTTCAGATTCTATGAATGTCCCATTTAATAGACTTTGCAGTCATTACCTAAACCCTAACTTCCCAATTCCCTAGGAAATTCAGATTTGAGTCTTCATTGTAACTTCTGAGCTTTTGAAATGTACCAGTTATCAACTGAGAGAACTGAAAGCACCACTAATTCTATGGATTAAATGCATTCTGGGATTGCCTTATGCATGAAGGATGAGCAACATGCTGCCTCAGATTTTGTCCAAAAGAGATCACTTAAAAACTTTCTAGGCGAACAATGGGTTTTGGAACAGAGCCATTGTGTGTTCAGTTGTAAGACAACAGCAGAAGTGAAATTTTTTTTGTAGTGCCTTACCAGATCAGAGTTTGTTTCCTTTAATTCAGATTCCTCGTCTTTGTTGCTGTCTTTGTGGCTGTTGCTCTCCTCCTCTGCCTTGCACGGGTGAACTTTGACCTCACAATCTGGCTGGTCTCTAGAATCAGGCTGTTGCATGCATGCATGGGCAAGTTAATGAAGGAAAACAAAAAACAACAATAAAAGACGAGCATGATAGAAGACAGACGAGATCAAGTGGAATATGATGACGGAATCAAAAAAGGTGATGTGTAATATGGGTATATAAAACATTTGGAGGGATGTAAGGACAGAATAGACATATTTAAACAAAATGACAAATGAAACATGGAGAAAAAAAGGCTTAATGATACCTATAAAGCACCAGCAAATAAAAACTCACAAGACAATGAAAAGTATGTATAGGAAAAACAGTTTGGCCATTGTGGAATAAGACAAAATGGCAAAAAGAAGCAAAACAACAAGAAGTGAAAGCATCATCTTTGGTTTGAGGAGGAGGAAACAGGAAATGGGGTAGTGGGAAACAAAGGAATCATAAAGAGAGGGAGAAGAAGAAGAAGAAAAACAAAGGAAGAAATGTTGCAGCGACCACAGGTCATGGTGCCCATGCAGTGAGGAAAAAGAGAGAGAGAAGGAGGAAGGGAAGAGTCTGGATTGGATCTCAAGAGCTGGGCCTCTAATGGAGCCTAAATGAATGCCTGTTAGATTAAACCTCAAATGTGTCAGAAAATGAAAAATCTTTCAGTGTTTTTCTGTCTAATACAACAGTATTGTATTGGACCCTGCTGACTTTCATTGGATGAACAAAAACAGTTGAAACGTTCTTCCAAATATCATCTTTCATGTTCCACAGGCGAAAGAAACTCATACAGGTTTTGTATGGCATGAGGGTGAGCAAATGATGACTGATTTTTTTGGTGACCTGTGGCTTTAAAGGATTAGTTCACCTCCAGAATAAACAAATTCCTGATCATTTACTCACCCCCATGTCATCCAAGATATTCATGTCTTACTTTCTTCAGTCGAAAAGAAATGAAGGTTTTTGAGGAAAACATTCCAGGATTTTTCTCCATGTAGTGGGCTTCAGTGGTGGCCAAGGGGTTGAAGGACCAAACTACAGTTTCAATGCAGCTTCAAAGGGCTCTACACAATCCTAGCTGAGGAATAAGAGTCTTATCAAAACGATTGGTCATTTTCCAAAAAAAAAAAAAAAAGCTAAATTATATACTTTTAACCACAAATGCTCGTCTTGCACTAGCTCTGTGATACGCGTCAGTAACCTCACGCATTACGTAATAACTTTGCAAAGGTCATACGTGGTTAGTTCTTCGTCTGTGTACTCCAGTTCAAAAAGGTAGGGTAAGGTAACTCCATCTCATTTTCTCCTCCCACTTCAAAATCGTCTGACATCGTTGTTTTACCTTTTTTTGTAAAGGGAGTTTGACTTTCTTTACACATTCCCTTTGTAAACACTGGGTCAATACTTCCGCCTTTCCAATATGACTACATAATGGATGCAGAGCTAGTGCAAGACAAGCATTTGTGGTTAAAAAGTATATATATATATATATATATTTTTTTTTTTAGAAAAAGACTGATTGTTTTACTAGATAAGACCCTTATTCTTTGGCTGGGATCGTGTAGAGCCCCTTGAAGCTACATTAAAACTGCAATTTGGACCTTCAACACATTGGTTCCCATTGAAGAAAAATCCTAGAATGTTTTCCTCAAAATCTTAATTTCTTTTATACTGAAGAAATAAGGACATGAACATCTTGGAAGACATGGGGTGAGTAAACTAATCCTTTAAGATACTGAGATATTATCTTTCTTTGAAAATATCTATGAATATCAAATAATGATTTTACACTTATTTGCTAACATGCATGGATTAGACATCTCATTATGATTGCTTGAATAGTCAGGTCAAAAAATTATTGGAAACAGCCAAGTCTACATTTTATAATAAATTATTATACCATATTATACCAAATTATTCATATCATTTGGATCTACACATACAATATCAATTACCAGAAAAGTGGATTCCTCAATCAAAATGAAAACCTTTACAACGGGTCAGTTCTTTACCACAATAATGATGATCTACTCCATTAGAGGCCTAAATGCTATCCACTATGAGGCCTTATAATGCACTACAAGCATGCATTGTTATAGTGGTCGGCAAACCTTTCTAAGGGATAGGGCCGTGTAAATACAACTCAATGATCTAATCAAGCAAAGCAACAAAAAGGAAACTTGCTGGTAAAAACAGACAAAACTCCAAGCAAAAAGGAAAGAATAAAGATGCAAGGGAATATTTGACCAAGAGATTGTGTGTATACCTTCTGTTGGGTCGTGTTCTGGTTGAACTGAGCATCTGCAGGGCATGAGCAATTTGCTGCAGGGTCTTCTGCCTCAGACAACAGGGGCATCAGGGACATCCCTTCCACACGCTCCCTCTCTGGGGGCTGCCCCAAGGCATCCACCCTCTCACTGAGGGCCTGTAGCTGAGCCTGGAGGGACTGCAGTCTGCCATGCAGGGCCTCCACCAGGGGCAGCGTGGAGCTCTGGGTCTGGCTCTTCTCTAGCAGAACTGGTTCTGCAGACTCGTCTGTCGTAATCTTATGATAGACGGCATCTGGTAAGATACAGGAGGGGTCGGGTGATGTCAGAAGCTGAATGGCTGAGGTAACAAGTTGTGCCTGGTCGCGGATGGCGAAAAGGTCTTTTATGCTGAGGCACTGAGCAGTATGAGTGTGACTTGTTCCTGAAACTTTCAGATTCTTCTCCTCCAGAATATCGTTCTGCTCGTCACCAACTGGGCCTTCACGGTGCACCTGGCTGGGGACGCACTCAGCCGAGTCCCCTGCTTCAGCATCAGTCTCCAGTACTGGACGTGTGGAGCCCTGGTTGGAGGCCAAGTCGCAGCGTTGAAGGTTGGACAGAAGCACACGGTTTTCATACTGGAGCTTCTTTACTTTGCCGTTCAGCTCTGCGATCTGAAGCCTGGCAGCAAGTAGTTCTTTATGGCTGGCTTCGCTTAGACCAGATCCTCCATCTTCAGAAGCACCAGGGATGATCATGGGTGAAGTGATGGTTGTGGATGACAACGGCTCTATTTCAGTGACAGCGGGAAGCTCAGACTTGTAGTGGTTGAGCTCGTTCATCAACAGCTTGTTTTGCTCTTCCATTTCTATCAGGGAGCGCCGCAGCAGATCCGCCTCTTCTTCCACAAACTGTAGGTGGCGCTGTAGCTCCATCACATTCTCAGACGTGGAAAGCAGCAGCTGACTTCCGACTCCACCCGGGGAATCTTGGATCTTCATATCATCCATTTCGGCACGAAGGCCGCGGTTCTCCACCTCCAACTCTACGATCCGTCGGCTTAGAAGGTTCGCCTCCTCTTCCACCAGTTTCAGGTGGACTTTGACCTCAGCCTCTCGGGTGTGAGGAGAATCGGCGACCTCTTCGACAGTAAGTGAGGCATCAACATCTCCGTACAGAGAGCGATACTTTGCCAGTTCCTCCCTCATGGCCTCGTTGTCTTTAACCATCTTGGTGAGTTTCTTGCACATGAGAGCTGATTCCTCCTTGGCGAAGTGAAGCTGGCACTTAAGGTCTGAACTGTCCTCTGGAGGCTGGAGAGGAACATTTGCAGAGACCAAACAATTATTAGCCACTACAACATTAAACAATACACTGTCCCCTTATACCCCTTTTCCTCTACTACTGTACTGGTGCTGGAGCCAGTGGCCAAAAAGGCCTTGCTTCACACAGTTCTTGATGGAAAATCAGTCATTAATTACTCACCCTAATGTCATTCCAAACCCGTAAGTCGTTCGATCATCTTCGGAACACAAATGAAGATATTTTTGATGAAATCCGAGAGCTTGACCCTGCATAGACAGCAACACAACTTAAACGTTCAAGGCCCAGAAAGGTAGTAAGGACATCGTTAAAATAATCCATGTGACATCAGTGGTTCAACTGTAATGTTATGAAGCTATGAGAATACATTTTGTGTGCAAATAAAACAAAAATAATGACTTTATTCAGCAATTTCTTCTCTTCCGTGTCAGTCTTTGACATGCGTTTACGAAAGTACCACAACACTTGCGTGTGCATTCCTCTGATTGTAAACACAGTGTTCCTTTCTGGGACCTTTCTGGGCCTTGAATGTGGTAGTTACGTTGCTGTCTATGCATCGTCAGAAAGCTCTTGGATTTCATCATAAATATCTTAATTTGTGTTCTGCAGATGAAAGAAGGCCTTACAGGTTTGAAACAACATAAGGGCAAGTAATTAATCACTTTTCATTTTTGGGTGAACTATTCCATTAAGTTCTGGTAGGAGAGATTATGAAGGAGGTATAGGATCCCCTATAGGATTACAAAGACAATGTAAGTTTTAAATCAATAACACCTGCTTCTAAAAGTACAGTCTGATATCATTGCTGTACTTTACCAGTCCTCTTTCAAATCGTAATAATATCACAATAGAAGAAAACTAAGTCATCAGATGTATTGTAGTAGAGTGTATTACCTGAGGCGATGCTTTTTTATCAGGTTTGCTGTTTGGTCTGGCACCTCTCTTCTTCAAAGAGTTCTACAGGGAAAAGATGATAAATTAATTTAAAATGTGTAAAAACATGAATGAGTATCTCTTGTTATCCTCCCCTGCCCAGCCACTGCACATCCATTCTGATGGATCACACCATCACTTCTGTCTCTCTTTGTGATATTTTCACTCATAAATCATCATTTGGCAGCAAACCAGCATTGAATTAAACTGAAACACATCACAGCATGGGGTATTTAATTGTTTCCATGAAATAAAAAACTTCTCCACTGCAGGAAATGGAGATAAGAGGACAGAGAGCTATCAGATACATTATAAAACGAATAGTTGAGAGCCCTAGATGCTTATAAGTTAGTACAAGGTTTCAGCTGTGAGAAAGTACACAATATTCACAATATAGCACAGCCTCTCATACCTTATTGCAAAAATCAAACATAATCACTTCTAGTGTGATTTTTCCCTAAATCATGTTATTGCACCTATGTTTGTCTTCATTAAATAAATAAAAATCAGGAATGGGTGAATACAGACAGACTGCTGGGTAAAATCCAATTTTCACTTTCTGTCATATGTGGGCTAACAGAATGGCACAGGTTAATGACAATGCCACTTTTAATGGCACTAAACTTCATTAAAATCAACAGATTTGTGCTGAAAGAAAATGAAAGCATCGACTTAGCAGTGTATCGACCATTTTTGTGCCACTGTTTATTTTAATTTAATGTGGTTTGCTGAGTCTATGGAAAAGAAGTCTGAACATAATGAGATTATAGCAACGTCATTTATCCCACCACTAACTCCCACTGGCCTCGTCCACAAAGCCTGCCCATGTAAAATCTGCGTGATGGGGTTTTCTTCTGTATATGAGTCCTCCAGCACAAACACTCACTCACAGTCACTCTAGTGACTGAGTGTTTCCTACTGTGGCACTCCACACACAGTTATGATCAAATTCCATCCTCTCACAAGACTGATGCAATTTTGCCTTTCTAATACAACAGACGTGTTTCCCAAACAGAGTTTTTTTCTTTGACACTCAAAGTTTCACAATTTCATATATATAAACGTACATAGAGTAAAAATAGGCATTTGCAAGAAAATTAGTTTGCCAACTGGCCAATAACTTTATAAGGAACTGTGACATAATACACGGTTTAAATGGGATATTAAAGGGGTCATATGATGCTTTTTTAAAGATCATTATTTTGTGTATTTGGTGTAACAGAAAATGTTGACATGCTTTAATGTTCAAAAAACACATTATTTTTTAAATGCTGTACATTATTGTAGGTCCTCTATGCCCCGCCTCTCTCAAACGCTTAGTTTTCTACAAAGTCCCTCCTTCCGACAAGCACAGTCTGCTCTGATTGGCCAGCTGACCCAGTGCATTGTGATTGGCCGAACACCGCAAGCACTCGTCAGAAATGTAACGCCCCTTACCATAATAGCGAGCTTCATCTTTCAAAATAAATGTAAAGACAGTAAATAATGTCAGTTTTACCATCAGTTCAAGCCCGAAAGGGGAACAGAGTCGCGTGACAGACACAGTGATGATGCAGTACACAAGCCACGGTTAAGACAGCTGACTCCACTGTGATGTGACCCCGCCCCCCCCTCTCTCTCACACACACGCACGTGTAACACTCCAAAGAGAAAGGAAAACTTGAAATCGCATCATATGACCCCTTTAAGAACAATAGTCTGACTCTCACTGACAATTCAAATCAAAGACAATACAAGCTGTCTACTAAAGAAAACATCATTCATGACTCATGCTTTTTCTAACAGTGGAAGATTTACCATCAAAGTTTATCTAAGGTGTGCAAATATGTTTTTTTCCCCTCCAGAAGTCATGTGGCAACAAGAATGTGGAATATTCCTCGCATTAAGCAACCAACATGAAAATATGGGGAACAAAATCACAATATGAGGAGTTTTACTATAGAGACTGACTGACGCTTGAATTTGAAACATATGACATTTTGATTATATTATAAAACATAAACTGATGAATTGTTAATAAGATCTATAACGTTTTTAGAAAAGAGTGAATTTTCATGCCGACTAGAAGCATGATGGTAAATGTTTACTCATGTTCATCATTGCATAATTTTGTACTGCTAGCACATGTTGAAACTCTCAATCCAAGTAGTCAGTCATCTGATCACTGAATTGCTTTTCAGCTACCTGAATTTCAACACCATGAAATCTAATGCAGGTACGGAAATCTGAGAACAAGCACACACACACAGGTCTATTCAGCCGTGCCCTGATCTTGTGCCTGCTTGATTTATTCTTATGACACACACTCATCCTTCAACACAGGCTGTAAGGAATAAGATGAAGTCATGTTACAGTCAGGGATGAAGAGTGTCACTGTATTAAACAAACCCCATCCATCCTGAAGGAACAACAGAGAACTCATTTATATAATTCTCTCTAATTTCACCTGCTCAGTTGACTGAATTATGAAGACTTGAGTTAGTGGAGTATGTGAAACTGAGAGGTTCTCTAAGTCACGCTCTACTTCACACACTTCTTCCTTCAAAATCGAATGAATGTTGCGTAAGAGAGATTGTTGAATCACGAGGCTGGATAGAGAGCTGAATGTTTCTGAGAGGATTCTCTTTCTTTAGACAGAGGTATCATTAGAATTTGAATTCTATCATATCTCTATCTACTGTATCTATCTATCTGTCTGTCTGTCTGTCTGTCTATCTATATATACACACACACACATACACACACACACACATATATATATATATATATATATATATATATATTAGGGGTGTGCGATATATATCGTCTGCGATAATATCGTAATTGTTGTTTTAACGATGTGCGATTTGACATTATCGAGTATTTTGCAAACACCGTTCAAAACATCCCTACAGAGCGCACGTATACATTACGTGAAGTCTAGACTAGTGCATGTGCGCATTTAGTGCGTTTTCTTTCACTGCATGATTCAGTCTATTAAAATGCATTTAGAATGATCACAAATTCAAGACATGATGGCAGAAAATTTATATATTTATACCACTTCATATAGTTATTCAATTTCACACAAAGAGTGCCGTTTTCTCCAAAAATTATCATGATTACAAATGTGACATTGAATTCAATAAACAATAAGTTAATTAAGAAACTTACATTTTAGACACCATATTGCTTGTTTTTGCTTTATTTCGCCAACAAAAATCATTCCGAATACAGCCACAGCACTGTTTTGTGTCTCTGAGCAACATGACGGTGTTTCGTTCTTGAATGAATCAACCATTTAAATGATTTGGTTCAATCGCAGTGACTCACTTATTAACAATCACTTGCTGCCACCTGCTGGCGGATTTAATTTCAAATTTCGGTTTTTTATTTTTAGATTTTTTTCATGTTTTAAATAATTTCAAATATCAGTATTCAACGTTTTATGTTTAATATATCAAAACATTATTTATGCATTTGTAACTGCAGATTAAGTGCATTCATGTCTTGCATTAAACAAAATACGTATGTGTAAATACATCTAAATGCCACTTCAGCTTCTGTGTTGATTTAATTTGCTTGGTAACAGCCCAAATGTCTTCTTATTCTAATTCACTGATTAAATGTAAGAATTTGACTCAAAAGATAATGGACACTTTTAGAAAAAATGGCTTTATAAAGGTAAAAATGCCCATAAAATGTAAAAATCAGTTTAAACTTATAAGAAAAGATTAATTTCTATCAGTATGAACTGACCACCACACAGAATATGAAGAATATTAAAAACATTAGGAGTCAGCAATAACAATAACACACTCAGCAAAATATTGTCTAATTATCGTTATCGATAAAATCCCAGAAAATATCGAGATATATTTTTTTGTCAATATCGCACACCCTTAATATATATATATATGCATGTATGTATAACTATGTATATATGTATGTATGTATTAGAGCCCGACCGATATGGGTTTTCTGGGGGCCGATACCAATACCGATATTAGGGAGTAAAAAAAGGCTGATATTCTTTGTGTATACAATAGTACAGTACCAGTCAAAAGTTCGGACACTTTCCCATTCGTGTCTCCAAACTTTTGACTGGTACTATATATAGAATACAGTACATTGTAAAAAAATAACCGTGAATTTAATGGTAAAAGATTGTAAAAACGCTACAGTAAAAACCTGTTAAATGGTTAATGGTAAATTCTCCTACTATATACGGTGAAAAACTGTATTGGACATTACATGTAATTTTACGGTAGTATACCGTTTTTGGAAGTGAAAAAGACCGTATAATTTACAGTGAATAAATTTCCATTCCCAAAATTCCCTGCGTTACGTTTCAAATTTTATGTTTTTTTGTTGTTGAAATAATTGTTTCTTCTTAGTTTTTTTTAATCAGTTTTATATTTTAGAGTTGTATGTTACACCTAATGTTGTTAAATGAATGTTTATTGCATTATTTCAGTTTCATGTGTTACCATGATGGTGTTTAGTGTTTGTGTGAATGACACTGTGCACCTTCTATACATGTTATTATTTAAAAGCTGCGTGTGATGGGCTTTGGTTCATCATGTGACTTTCTCATCACCACCCCCTTTTGGTGGATGTCAGTGTATTACAAAGGTACAAAACAGATTTCAGTACTTCAGTAGGTTGGTATATTAACATTATTTCAGTTAATGAAATTACAGTATTTAACTGTAAATTTAAGTTAAAACCGTAAAACCTGAAATGTTGCTACCATATTTTTTACGGTACAATTCCGGCAACCACAACTTCTGTTTTTTTACCGTAAAACATAATATAGGCCTACCTCTGTAAATAAATACAATTTAAATTTATGTCTCGCGCAATTTAATGTCCTTTGAATGTAACGTGTACGTTCCCTTCGAAACTGGAATCATGGCAGAATGAGACTTACTAAAGTGAAAGTGTTGGCTGGTGTCACTCTCTCGCAAACGCGGTGGCAGATCTCCACCAAATTCGGGGGATCCCTTCAGCTCGAGGAGCCCTCTCGAACACCACCCTCATTA